GGACATTTCAGCAAGACAATGAGCCCAAACACAAAGCCAAGGAAATTCTCAGTTGGTTTCAGAGAGTTTCTCCATACAGGAGGCGTCTTGAAGCTGTCATTGCCAACAAAGGCTTTTGTACAAAGTATTAGATAAATTTCAGTAAGTGTGTTCAATACTTTTTCTCTGTGCCATTCCACATTATTACAAATAACTTCATTTCTGGACATTTATAGTTTGATTTCTTTGTATGTATGGATCACTTGGGTTGTTACCGACATCTGGTGAAAAAAACAAAAATAGCAGAGCTAGTTCTGCTGAAATACTCACTGTGACTATAAATGGTACAGTGTTGATCATCTCGAGTATGAAGGACACCTGGAAGATCTGCTCCCAAATGTTCCCCTGGAATTGAGATTTACAAGAAATGTTTAAGAAATCTGTGAGATTTTATAACATTAAAATGATTTAATGCTATAAAAATAGTAAATGGCCTTTAAACAATACTGAAAAAGGTGAGATTTATCAGCTATAATGACAGTATGAGATTTAAATTACTTTCTTTCTTTGGCATGAATAAATTTAGTCTGACAAAAATGAATCTCCTTCTACAGGTTAAAATAAAATCACAGCTATGTTCCTAATTAAGTCTCTATTCATCACTGATGTTCTATTCAAATGGCAGCATTCTTCATTTTCAGCTTAAACATCTGTTTCTTTGCATTATATTAACATGATGAGTAATGTATTCAGTACTGTGCTGAACAAAAAAAGGCTCAGCTTTTTCCACTCAGCACAGACAGAAACACGGTTTATTTTTGGTCCGACATCACACTGTAGCTAACAAGATGAACAGTTCTTTTTTTTTGTTCTTTTTTTTTCTTATAAAATACTAAATAAAACAAAAATATTGGTGGCAATTTTTTGACTGAATAACTTTACAAATGGCACCCCATGGTATGTTGCCACCATATCCAACACATGATGCATTTCCAGCCCTGCAAACCTGTTTAAATCATAACGTCCAGCCCAGCTGCGTTAGCCTGGGTAATTGGACTTTCAGTCCATAAAAGAGAAAAACCAGAAAATTCTGGACTTTGATCCAAAAGCTGCAAAATGCCACAGAAGATTAATGAGACAAATTGAGTGCTGTGAAGGAGCACCTTACCTTGTAGCTGAGATATGTGATGAGCATAGTCTCCAAGAAACTGATTAAGGCCACTGTCACCTGCAGCAGAGAAGAGGGGGAGATGGATGAAGCCCAAATCTGCAGACTCATCTATTTTTTTTTTAAGTTTCTCAGCCTTCACAGGGGAAATACAGCTCTCTATATTTCTGTCTAATAAATGACAGCTGGGAGTTTGTGTTTGAATTAAACTTTAAAATGAAGCTCAGGCACACAGCAGGTTCAACACCCTCACCTGCACTGCCCATACAGACTCACATCGAGTCACCCAGAAAATACGGGTCCTGTCAAATAAATAAATGGTAATCAGAGTATTTATATAAACGCAGCACAACAGTTGAATACATTTGAGTATATTAAAGAACATTTTGTTGGAAACTTACCAGTTGATTTCTGACTCTGTGGTATTTAGTGAACTGTTGTTGCGACGTATTCCACTGCAGATGAGCAAAAAAAAAAGAGTTAAATGTGGGAACGTGAGGAAACAAGTCTGCTGGAATCAAACGGTGCACTGCCGCAAAAAAAGTCTTTAAAACAACACGTTAGCACAATGCAATTGTCAGAAAATTTAGTGTTTGTTAACTGAAATCGTGACGAAAACACATAAATGTTGAATATATTAAAATATGAAGAGAAAGGACCATACTACAGAGCCCGCGAGGGGACACAGGGGGATTTCTTTTCTTTTGCGTTACCTCGCAATATTGTTTTGCATTCCCACGCAAAAGTTTGATTTGTATATGAACTGCATTAAATCAGATTTTTATTGTGAAATATCCGGTTACCAAAACAGGATGTGTCGCCACAACTTTGTGATATTGACATTGATGTTGCGTGGCTGCACTGTGTTAAAATATCGGCATATGACATACTTCCATGCGTGGCTGTGTAATATATTCATTCTGAAGCTGAATTAAAGCAGTAGGCTAACTCGCTAATGCTAAACATGTGAGTTTGTTAATAAACCGGCAGGCACAACAGTGTTTAACGACTTTTGTGAGGGAACGCAAAAGGTATTGCGAGGTAACGCAATACTTTTGCGTGGGAACGCAAAATGAAAAAAAATCCCCCATGTCCCCTTGTGGGCTCAGTACCATACAACACCAGTGACTGGAGTGAATGGTGGTTTAATGCTCTGTGCAGGCATGAAACCAACGCTGAATGAAAACCGGAAGTCCCGGCTTATAAATACATGGCTCTTCAGTGCCTGGTACGCCCACTACTGGCCCACAGTTGAATCGCAGACACTCATACAGAAAACCTGTCCTCATGTTTGATTAACGGTTTTTTATGTGTTGTGATGGTGTTTTCAGGCATGTATCCAAACCTTCTTTAATCAAGACATAACAATAGTCAAACAATAGATTATAAGAATCAATACTTAAAAAGGAAACTAAGACAAATGGTGTGGTGCTTTCAAATCAGTATCTAACTAACTAATAAATTCCTTCACAATAACAGAAGCTATAACGGGGTTATTTGTCACCGATTCCATGTGTTTTGGTCACATTAAACCCAAAACCAATACATTTACATTGTGTCCATGAAAAAAATAGTTGTCTGGTTTGGTTGAACTTTAAATGAATAAAGTGTGAAGTGGTTAAACAAACTAAAATCAACAGTTACGCAGTAAATAATGCTCTTAATTTGAAAGAGTGAATACAGTTAGTAGAGTGTCTCCGGCTGATTCTTACCATGGGTTACTGTTGCCCTCTGTGGGACCATCCAGGCTGACTCGGACTATGTAGAGGACACAGGTGAGAACCTTCAGTGCGAAGTTGAACAAACGAATTCTTAAGCCTACGGAGCAATAATAAAAACAAAAATGTTTTATTCACAGGTTTAAAGTTTATGCACAAGGCTTCAATCTAAAGTTAAAACAGAGATTTTCCCACTGACAGTAAAATAAGCAAATATCTTATTTTCAAATATGTCTTACTTCTTGAAGCACAGTTTGTTTACCTCATTATTAAAAGAAAGCAAGATGGGAATTTGCACACAAGCCACAAAGTTTCTGGGACATTGATACAGTAGATGAGACAAAACTGGAACTTTTTGGCAAATGTTAACAAACCCAAATATATATTCATTTATAGCACACATAAAAACACCTAGCAAAAATAATTTAGTGACCACCTTACATGGATATCTTAGAGGGATTATAGTATTTATGGAAGTGGGGTTTACATTTGAATTAAACAGACATTTTGTATGCATTTAAGTGTAATAATGAAGAGCTAAGCCTTTTTGAAGATGTGCCCAGTATCCAGGCATTGGTGCGCTTCATTTCTAATCAACCAAAACAGCTACTTAATCTGTTCCGACATGGTCTCTTTGAATGAGGTTAGCATCAATGTTTCAACAGTTTGAAACCCACCAAACAACGCAACAGAACAACAAAGGCCTGCAACCAGGAGTGGCATTCTCATTAGGCTCTGACGCTTCATGTGGCAGTCTTTCCTGGCTTATTGAGGACGACACTCTGCAGGAAAGTCAGCGGAGTCATTCCAGAGCTCACATTATGGTAATGACTTTTTCTAGTGAAGTCGAAGCTTCTCACGGTGCAGAACAGTTAAATGCAAATGAATAAAGAACATATTCAAAGGTTTATTTGTTTCCGGGGACCCTTTAGAAAGGCACTTCAGCACAGCCAGGCTCCCAGTGAGGAAAAACACTGCTGCTCCCCCATATTCCAACAAATGGACCATGCTGCTTTACGTTGAGCAGCCACATAAAATAAAACCACATACCACAATGAGGTAGCTAATGTAACACTGAAACCCTAAAGTGAAACAGAAAACGGATATGCATCATCAGACTTCACTTTCCCCTTTTTTATGCTATTATATGTTCACTTAGCCCTGACCATCTCTGGTAGACAGGAGTCTTACCATTTTCATTGTAAGATGAGAGAGGCTGCTGCTCTCTGTTATCTGTACTTACTTGACCTTTGGTTTTTGATGAAGAAAAGCTTCAGCCTCTCCTTGAAGGTGTTTTCATTCACATAGAACTCTACCTGCACCCTGTGAGGGAAAATAAGAGCAAATTTTCTTCATTTTATCTTAAAAAGGAAACCATGCTCACTTCATGCTCCAACACAAACACTCAAAAACACATCAAGTACTCGAGAGATGGGCTAAAATTTGTAATGGTACCTTGTAGATGTGAGCTAAAAAACACGTACAGTAAACAAAAATTAATAGTTTGCTTGCAGTTAGATACATGTTTAAATGAATGTATAGTCTTTTAAAATCTGACACCGGTTCAAAAACAACCTTAGAAATTTGTTTTGGATGTTAAAACAGAATACTTTCATGAGTTTACATTTCTTTATTTCAGAATTAAAACACATTGAAGAAAAATAATCAAATACAAAATTAAAAGGCCCTAAAAACCCACAAAAAACACTGGGTTACAAACTACCATTCTTTCCAAATACTTTTATTTTCATACAGTATTTGTCGTGGAAATCTTTATTTAACCAAACAGAAACACGTGGTCCAAAATAAAAAAGTACTCCATGAATGGTCAACAGGATTTATTGCAACTGCAAGATACACATCATGTCACACAGGGCAGTGGTACATAAAATGTGTGTCCTGAGGCAGTGTCAAATACAGTTTCTAAAAAGAAAACTGACAAACCAAGTATATTTACTTCAGGCTTCAAAATATAAATACGCCAACTTGCAAATGAGCCAAATTCAGCAAATAAGTTTAAATCTTTAACAATGAATAGCTCTGAGTTTGCACCAAAGGTTTACACAATTTGTTTGATTTTGTGCAGTAATTTACTATAATGGCACATGCTAACAAGAAAACTATAAATAAAAGTATAGATGCAATCCCTTTAATGATGCTTGATTAATGTTTTAGTAAAAGAATATGCTACACTAAATAACTGTTGTCTAGTGAACAAGACTACATACATCCAGGTCTATTTTGACAACAACCACACTAATAACTGAAGCATTGTTCCAAGCATGCATATAGGTGTACAGCGGGTTTAAACGTTTCAGTTTTCTCTTAATATTTCATGCATGCATATAGAACAGAACCACATGACAGATATTGTTTACAGTATTTGCATCCCTTGGGTCCTCTAGAAATAAATAAACGAGAACATGAGAGGACAGCTCGGTTTTAATCGAACTCAAATGTTTCCATTAATATTTAAAAATTATTTACCTATAAAAACAAGCACTGCTTACATGATACATTAAAGGCTATTAAAGACTATATAAATCTGAACTCCAACAGGCTTTTTGGAGTGGCTCGACCAAACACAAACACTTGATCAGGACTGGTGAGGTGGCTGCAGAACTGTGCAAAGCTTATAGAAAATGCAGGTAATGAAGGGAGGCCTTTTGGTTCGGCAAAGCTGAGAGCTTATTGTCACTAATGAACCTTTGGGGAGGTAATAATGGTCTTACAGTCACAAAGGGGACCTTTAAAGCCATCTACCTTGTCTGACAAGATGAATACACGATAGGAGATGGAGGAGTGGGTAGAACAGCGTGGTAATTACACCATCGAACTATTAACCAAGGTTTGCAGGATGTGATTGGATATAAAGCACATGTGGAAGAAAGAACAAGACATATAATTTAGCTGAAGCTCTACTGCCATAGAGACTGCTTTCAGGACATATCTGGGTTTTGCTTTCTAATGCATCCAGACAGTTATTTTTTTACTACCCTCAAACTTCAAATGTCACGAGCCCTTTCAAGACAACAGCAGAATAACCTACAAACCTTTCTACTACCTAAGCGGCAGAAAAAGCCTAATAAAGACTGATGATGGCTGCTGAGGCTTCATGTTTACCCAGCTTGTCCAGACAGACATGAAATTACCCTTCATACAGGAAATGAGCGGAACAAAAAATGAAACATGACTCCTCTGCGGTGCAGTTCTTATTGTTATTTAGTTTTCTGACTAGTATATGTTTGTCACGGGGATTCTACTAACCATCCAAAACCACACCCCTTCTTCCAAAATATGTAAACGAGTTTCTCTGTATTTCACAATATAATGAGGATACATGCAGTCTTTTTTTCTTCATTAGAAGTGAATACATTCAGAATGTTTTCTGACATTTTTTAAGTTTTGAGAGGGTATTTATTTTCCATTTTTAACTGCTACTAAATGAAAAAGTGTCACTGTCAAACAGGCAGATCACAGTGTGGGTGGTTTTGTTCACACAATTAGGCAGAGGAACGTAGACAAAGACAAAATAAATCTCTGCCAGTAGCTTTGATCGCTCCTAACGCTACAAATAGTTATTCAACAGAAGATGGATGCACACAGCAGCAGAACAATGATACCATTTAAGTACTCACATGTTCTTTTCTTTACCATATCTGCGATCTGCAAACCATCACCTGCCAAGCAGGGACATCAGCCCCTGGTGTTGAATGTAAACACGAGCAGGACATGGGTTTAACAGGCATCTACAACAATAACTGCTTCTTCTACTGCACTAAAATCTAACGAGGGCAAGAAGGAACAAGAATGTTCTGTAGTTGCAAATACGTGTCACGTGATCTCATGTCCTTCACTAACAAACAGTATGTCCCATTAATACATCGGACTAAAGGTACTGATAAAATGAAGGAAGTTGGAGGGTGGAAAATACATTTTAAAAAGGAACAAGTGAGTCTTGTGTTAACTTGAAACTCAAAGAAAGCTTTTGGTGATAAAGTGAAGTGGTACACACAAAACCTGCACACCGTGGACCCTAAAGAAAACAGTTTGAGACATTATCTGGAACACAGCTGCCATGTAGGCTTTGCAAATAATGAGACAATCGTTTGACCGCAGGATAAACAGACGTGCAGAAAAGGCCTGCGCTCCCTGTTAAGCTGGAAACAAAAAATATTGTCAAAACAGTTGCCAGATGCCCTGTGCCATGTTTTTTTTTTATTTATTTAATTTTTTTGAGCTGCAGCATTAGTTATTCTTGTGGAACAGCGTTTATAGGTAATAATATACTATTAATGGGAGACAGTTGCAGCACATTTCGGCTTCAGTACTTTTGATCAATCCATTTTGTGCTGCACATTCAGCAGCAGCAACATCAACCACAAGTTCACTAACTGACACAATTAAGTTATCAAAAGTACTTTGACGTTTTCAGCACCAGGGGCAACTTTGGCTCAGCAGGTAAAGACTTTTACCTGGAAATTGGCAGTGGAAGAATACAGTTAATGAGAGAACAGGTGAATAAAAACAATTAACGAGGTAAACAAGGATACAGAATTTCAACCCTTATACCATGAAAACAAAAATAAAACTTATCCGCTTGAGGATCCAATCAGGACGTTTGACAGAAGCACCTAACTGCGTTATAGTTTCAGATAAGACCAGGGCCTCTGGGCTCAGAAACAGCACAGTCAGTATAACTGTGTTTTGTCAGGATGATTGGAGTCCTTTAAACCTATTTTATTTCTTCCGCTTTGCTCCGATTCCTCTCTGACAAAGCAAACAGTTGAAAATAGAAAAATTCCCGTACACCACCCCCTGAGAGGTGTCTGACCTAAAAGCTTCAAGGATCTAAAATTATCACTCTCAAATCTGAAAGCTCAAAGCATCTTTTGTTTTTCCTGAGAAGCAGCCACAAGTTCCTACGCTAAGCTGAGAGCTCATGTCCATTAGCTTCATTATACTGCAGACAGTTGGAGTGGCTTCAAGCCAAAACTGGGTGTGAAAAGTACCTTGTATATATATATA